GCACTCAACCATCGTCGCCGCCGCGCACGCAGACGTCTATAGCGCCACAGATTAGCTCAACGCGCGATGTGAGCGTATCATCGCTGCATGCATCCATTGCCGCGCCAATACCGAACGCTTCGAATAATAAGGTTCAGAGCGCGCAACGTACGCAACCTATGACGGTACTGCTGTCGACCGCTCAGGTTGTTGTCTACGATAAAATGGGACGCGCCCATACGATTAGAGTTCTTTTGGACACGGGGTCGCAAATCAGCTTTATTACGAGTGAATGTTACGCGCGCTTAGGTTTGGATTGCGATAGAAATACGAGGACGATTGTTCGAGTTTTTGGTGGTGCTGAAAAGCCTATTCGAGGTTCCACAGAATTTCAAATATTTTCGCGTTTCTCTAATAAAATTCATTTTGAAGTATCTGCATTTATTGTCGACCGCATAACGGACAACCTACCTACGGTGCCCGTTGACTTATCAGCGTTTTCTCACTTGAAGTCGCTCCCGCTCGCGGACAGTATGTTCGCCTCGCCCGCCGAGGTTCACGTTCTCCTCGGCGCGAATTATTTCCCCCACTTGCTGCTACCAGGCGTGGTACATAGTAATGTTGCAGGGATACCGCCCGCTATAGAAAGTGTTCTAGGATATATAATCATGGGTTCTGTGCCCGCATTATTGTCTAAACACGAAATTAAAAATAAAACCGCTTGTTGTGCTGTTCTTGAACAGTCGTTGGACAGCATTCTCAAAAGGTTTTGGGAACTTGAAGAGGTCTCCGCTCCGCCCGCCCACAGTCAAGATGACCTTGAATGTGAGAATCACTTCCGTGCCACCACTACGCGCGATGCTAGTGGTAGGTATACCGTTTCGTTGCCGTTTAGGGACGATGTTTATAAATTAGGGGATTCTCTCGCCGCCGCTAAAAGACGCTTCATGTGTTTGGAACGAAAATTGGAGTCATCAGCTACATTGCGCACGGCCTACAATGATATAATACGCGAGTACATTGATAAGGGCTACATTACCGAGATAGGATCTATTGATAAAATAACTCCCGCCGATTCTTATTTCGTGCCGCATTTTTGTGTGCAACGTTCGGATAAAACGACTACCAAGGTTCGAATGGTTCTAGATGCCAGTTGTAAAACCAGCACAGGGTTGTCACTTAACGAAGTTTTACATTCCGGCCCTAACCTACAGGGTGACTTAAATTGCATACTTTTAAATTTCCGCCTGTTTAAAATAGCTATATCCGCTGACTGTCGTCAAATGTTTTTGCAGATTGGTATGCTCAAAGCAGATCGCAAATTTCAACGGATTCTTTTTAGATTCTCGCCGCAAGACCGATTAGTAATTCTAGAATTTAATCGAGTTTGTTTCGGGATGAAGTCAAGGGTGTTTCACGCTGTACGCGTCGTTCAGCAGCTCATCGCTGATGAACGACATAAGTTTCCTACCGCCGCCGCTATCGCATCCAGTTCCACGTACATGGATGATGTATGCTTCAGCATAATGTCAGGTGACTCATCGCGCTCTGATGAGGCCGCTGCTGTTGCCGCTTGTACGGAACTCATTGACTTGTTCAAGTGTGGACAGTTCGACCTTGTGAAGTGGACTAGTAACTCCCCCGCTGTTATGCGCGCCATTCCCGCATCGCACCGCGCCTCCTCGAATCTTGAACTAGACAGGGGTGGCACGCCTCATAAAATATTAGGCACGCACTGGGATAGGTCTAATGATGATTTTAATTTCAAGGTCAATACACCTGAGTCAGGATGCACAAAACGAATTATTCTGTCCGTCATTGCACGCTTATGGGACAATTTGGGCTTAGTGGCTCCCGTCATTTTGCACGCGAAGCTCCTCATTCAGGAGTTATGGCTATTGAAATGTGGCTGGGATGACACGCCTCCCCAACGCATTGTGACCCTCTGGTCCCAATTTTGTAGCGAGTTACCTGCGCTCAACGCTATCCGTATTCCTCGACATTTAGGAGTGGTTCAGGGGTGCATAGCTAACCTCTTGGGCTTTGCTGATGCAAGCGAACGCGCCTACGGTTGTGTGGTATACCTACAGGTCACCGTTGGAGCTGTTAGGTTCGTTAGGCTCGTGTGCTCGAAGTCTAAGGTGTCGCCGCTCAAAACCGTTTCTATCGCTAGGTTAGAGCTATGTGCCGCAGTACTTCTGTCGAAGTTGATGCGTAGGGTACTTGACGTTTTTGAGCTGCGCTATAAAGTCTCAAACGTATTCGCCTTCACCGACTCAAAAGTCGTCCTTTGTTGGATCAACTCGTCTCCGCACCGCTGGCAGACGTTTGTCGCGAACAGGGTTGTCAAGGTCGTTGAGAACTTGCCTGCCAGCTGTTTCCATCACATACCGGGTGTTGAAAACCCCGCTGACTGCCTATCGCGCGGCCTCTCCCCCGCTTCGCTAATCAACCATCCTCTGTGGTTTGAGGGACCGCCGTGGGCATCTGAGGATCCATCGGAGTGGCCCATCGCCGAGTTTAATAGTGACGCCGTCGGTGAGGTTCCGGACATGAAACCGCTTGCCCATGCTGTGACCGTACCCGCTAATGAATCGCTCATTTACACTCTCGCTCAGCGTATATCCTCGTGGTCGAAGTTATTACGTATTGTTGTTTACATTTTCCGATTCTCAAAATCGTTAACGCGCAGACCTTCTGTCACCCGCTCAGATCTCGAATTCGCTGAAATTAAAGTATTATACGCATTACAACAAGTTCACTTCCGTGACGACATCCATAAAATAAAGGAAGGTCAAATCTGCTCGCCCGCCTTACAGAGATTGAAACCATTTCTAGATGAAAATGGTCTTCTTCGCGTCGGCGGCCGGCTGTCGAACGCCGATATCGACTATTCGCTAATGCATCCGTGTGTGCTCCCGCGCCATGATCATGTGGTCGATATATTAATCGATTTATATCATAGGAAGCATTTACACGCCGGTCCCGAACATTTGATGTCCTTACTCAGACATCATTATTGGATACTCTCCGCACGACGTGTTATCCGTCACCGCATACACAAGTGCAATACTTGCTTCAGAGCAAGGCCGCGTCCATCGTTTCCGATGATGTCGGACTTGCAGCGCTCCCGCGTAAACCCGTCTATAAAGGCATACGCCCACTGTGGGTGTGACTATGCCGGTCCTATACGTTTCACCCCCATGAGGGGTAGGGGCGTTAAGAGCCGTAAAGCATGGCTATGCATCTTTACGTGCCTTACTACCCGCTGTATACACATAGAAGTATCTACGGACCTGAGTACAGTCAGCTTTCTCGCCGCACTCAAGCGTTTTCTTTCTCGTCGCGGACCGGTACAGTGCTTTTATACTGACAACGGAACTAATTTTGTGGGTTGCCGCTCATACTTACGCGACGTTTATAAGTTCCTTGACGAATTTCGTCCGCACCTCGAACACGAGTTGACAGAGAGTCGCATCGATTTCAAACGTATCCCGCCTGCTAGCCCTCATTGGGGTGGATGCTGGGAGTCAATGGTGAAGGTCGTTAAGACTCATCTCTTCAAGGTGATAGGTCAGCAGATACTCACTTACGAGGAGCTCTTAACTGTGCTTACTCAGGTCGAGGCACTCATAAATTCACGCCCTCTTACCGCTTTAAGTAGCGATCCCGCTGAGCCATCGGCGCTAACGCCGGCTCATTTTCTTCACACTGCACCGCTATTTTCGCTACCCGCACCAAACGTAGAATCAGCTAACCTGCTCGAGAGGCACTCACTCCTAGACAAGCTGGTTCAATCGTTTTGGCAGCGATGGAGAGTCGAGTATCTGCATAAGTTGCAGGCTCGAGCCAAGTACACTCGCCCACTACACCGATCCAGCTGGGATCAGTAGTGGTAATCATCGTCGATAACGCACCGCCACTTTCGTGGCCGCTCGGGGTTGTAGAAGCCGTTCATCCTTCGAAAGATGGAACAACGCGAGTAGTCACAGTTAGAACTAGTAAAGGGAGCTTCTTGCGCCCAGTGGTCCGATTGTGCCCATTGCCTAGTCAATAATCAATATTATAAATCCTCACAAATAGTTTTAAATAGGCTTAAAGTAGGTTAGATATTATGTATATACATTTTCCGCACCTTTTGCATCTTTTTGCAAAATATTACCGCGTTTTCTTACCGCATTTTTAATATTTTTTAAAGGTAACCCTTTAAGGTCGGGGGAATGGTAACGCCACCTGTCCATAGAGAAAGGAACTCTTTAAGTTTTAGTTTAAATTCCCGCTAGGTGAGGCTGTCGGCACCTATCAATCCCTTGATCATATATCGACATCCCGCACGCACGCCGCTAAAAGAACACAGTTCGGTGACGTTCGAGACGCGAGACACACCGCACGTTATATTTTTCTTTCCGCTACCGCATCTCATATAAACTTTAAAAACCAAAAATATTGGTATAATACGCGCCGCGTTCAAGTGTCTTCGGATCACGCTACCGCATTGTCCGCTGAGTGTTAAATCGTGCCTTGCCGGCAAGCTAGTGACTTTATACCGCGCAGCGCGCCGCCATTTTGTTTTCACAAGCCACAACGAAGCCACGAGAGACCAGGCCGCCTGATCAGCCCGCCAGGTCTGGACAGCAGCTCGACCAGCATCTGAAGACCATCAAGGTAGGCGTGCTTTTCCCATATCCTTTACCCACCTGTCCGGCAGCCGCAACGTACTCAGCATATCAGTTTCAGGCAGCGCTTAGTCGCTGAAGATATCTGCGCACCCGCTCATATGTATTAGCGCCAATAAATTCTATGGCCACCGCCAGTTGGCGCTAACAACCCCTGTTGTCTAGAGGGTCCACACGGAGGTTCAAGTAGAAAGAACATGTATAGTAATAACAATTGAACTTAACATAACAGGTAATAAAACTGCTACACTCCTGTAATAATATATATACATACATATAATGTAATAAAACTGCTGCTAAAACACTCGCTTAAAAATAAAACGTATATTTATTGAAAGTTTTGTTCTATTGCTCCTCTACTTCTTCATCGATTCCTTCAACGACTTCACCATCGACTTCATCATCGATTGGTTGCAATGTGAACCTCGAGGAGTGCTCAACCTTTGGCTCTTCCGGCTCGTTGATGTCGGGGATTCTGCAGGCCATAATAGCAGCCCCGTAATTACCAAGACCGGTGTCCCAGAATACTATCTAAAAAATTAAAGAAGCTTAACCGATGCATCAAAATCTCGAAAGAACATGAGCTCAAGAGATGATGGCACGTGAAAGACAAAGATATTGAGGCATCCCTTCTCAAAAGATGAAGTCGAAATCAGTAATATAATTTTTCTCGGCGAGCGGCCTCACGACAAGCGTACCTTATCGCGCGGGGCCGACCACCGCAACCCGCCCGGAACTAAGCCGATAAACTTCGGCGAGCTCCTCCGGCTCCAAATCCCACCGTTGGAGTTCCAGCCAACGCACATGCCCCGTGTACAGCCGTCTTACAACGACGCTGGCTCCACCCAGCTTGGGCAAAGCAACGCAGACCAGCTTTAGACCAAGCTGTCGGAAGTCCTCGTCGAAGAGCCACCTCCCGTCGAGGATCAGGTCCAGACGAAGTATATGGCCTCGACGGGAGGTGGCTAAGGCACTGGTATGAGGACCGACTTGAAAACGATTGAGGAGCCAGGAGGAGGATAACGACTGGGCGCATGGAACAAGAGGGCCTCCGTCTTCACCAGGGCCACCCGTAAGCTCAGCACCTCCATGCGTCTGACCACCAGAGAGACTCTCCTGGTAGCCAGACGCGCCGCCTCGCCCCGGGCTGTAACCAAAGTGTCATCGGAGTAACAAATTACACCAAGCCCTTGGGAGAGGAATCAGCTCGAAGGAAGACCGACCCTGTGTTCCACAAGGGGTCCAAGAACAGACCCCTGCGGAACACCGCACGACATGGGCCGACTCCTCAAAACACTATCTCGGTCCTCGTTGATGACGGTATGGTCCTCTAAGTAGTCTTCCACTAGCCGCCTCAGGTAACCCCGTGATAGTGGAGTGCTTCCCTTATGCAGCTAAATGGCAGACTATTGAATGCGTTGGCGATGTTCAACGACACCGCCAACAGCACGCCGCCACAGCTCTCCGCCGTTTCCGTCACGGCTCGTCACACAGCGTCACACAGCACCGACAGTCGAACGCCCGACTCAGGAGCCAAATTGGGCATCCGACAAATAGGGGCCAACCTCGCGTAAGTGCCGGATGATGGCAGAAAGGACCCTCTCAAACAATTTACCCGCTCGTCCATCAGCACGTTGGGCCTCTAGGCCGCGAGTGAATCGGCAGGCCGGGACGTTTTCTCAAGAGCACCAACTTCCCACTCTTCCAGCACTCATGGAAGCATTCGGGTGCCAAACTACCGTCGAATACCCCAATGCGGTCTGACATGTGGTTGAGGGCCAGGACCAGCACTCGGGCAGAAATCTCGTCCGGCCCTAGGGTGGTTTTCTTCAATGAGTTTCAGCAGGTTTGTTGTACCACACGATAGGAGCGACGCCAGGGGTCACGATCGAGACTCTCCAGCATCTCTTTTTTTTTTTACTTCTTTGGCGCGGCTAATTGCTAGCTTTAGAGTTTTCCGCGCCTCTCAGTACTCCTCATGAAGCTATTCCCCCACACCCTCCCCGTGATGACACCGCCGGCTACGGGTATAGGACCTCCGGGCACTAGTACAGGCCGCGCAGAGTTCCGCCAACTCAAGAAATATTTCATTACCCTTGCTATTAAACATATTTTTACTGACTTTTAGATCATAGAAATAATCTATTAATATTCACATTATTCGAACTAATTCCGGAGTGTCATCCTGCCCCTGCTAGCCCTTATAATTTAAGGTATATTCAGTATTTATATTCTACAACATTGTAATAGGGTAAAGCGACCTTTTTTTTCTGTGCGGAAATCCCCTCGGATACCACCCACCGGTGGCTATGTCGGACTCGAACCGACTAAAAACCGCACGCCGTCTCGAGTACCAATAGCCGGGGAACCAGGTGTACCTTAGAAAGGAAATCCCTAGCACCCCGACGTACTTCGGGCCATCTACGGTGGGTAGAAGACCCCCCTCCTGTGCCCCCATGTTCTGGCCTGCTTCTGCTAGGCTGACAGATGGCCTCACATGTTACCCCCAGGCCTGCGCTTATTAAGGACGGAGGTCGTTCTGCGACCTCCGGCGCCTGAGTCTTCTGCGGTACCTGGCCCGTTCCCGAGCCAGGCGGGCCGTAAGAGTTCTAAACTTCTCTCGGTCCCGCTCCGCCATCTCCTTCGCAAGCATAACTTGCTCGCAGAAGGAGACGACAGAGTTCCACGCACTTATGTTGTCCGATGGCCGCCACAAGGTCGCCTCTGCTCCACCCACGCCGGGCATTCTGCCAGCGTGTGGATCGCCGTATCCACGGTCCAGGGTAGAGCGACCTGACTTGCAGATGTCAACGCAACGCTAGCTGGTTCTTTCTCCTCGTGATAAAGAGCCCTGAAACTATTTCTGCATCCTCAAAACACACATAAAATATATTGAATTGATACTAACTTCACCATCGACGAGATACCGAATATAATAAATCTCATTCAGTTTCTTATATCCCAGCTCTTCGGCGACAACTTGCAGTCTGTTGGTTGTGAATATGCCCGCTAGAGCTGGCACGTTTGCGCTTCGACTCAGTGTTTCTGCTGCTTTTAGCATTTCTTTGGCTATACCTGGAACCAGTTATCATTTAAACGATTATCTTGGAAGTTGAACTCACGAACTGCGCTGTTGGCGTAGTGGTTTAAGCGGTCACCTCGCCGCTGAGTGTTGTGGCTTCGATCCCCACATGGACCAACACTTTCTGTGATCCACAAATTGTTATTCTTAGTCTGGGTATTCTTTGTTTCTGTTTCATAAATGTTTGTAAAGTCCCCCGCGACACAGGATATATGTTTAGTGTGAGAGTTGTCTTTTAAAAAAGGAACATAAAAAGGAATCTTTATACAGTCTACACTACAGATATTTTAATCACATAATTAGGTGCCCCTAAAACTAAGGGTTTCCCTGGTATAGATTACCAACTCTTAGTTCTGTATATTATATTTTAAAGTAAAGTGTTTTAATCCAAGTAATATATTTTACCAGCCCTGGCTCAGTTTAATTGATATTTAAGGGACATTTCACTTTATTGGTTTATATTTAAAGTTTAAATGTGATTTAAAGCAACTAAAATATAAAAAAAAACGCACAGGGCTTCTCAACTTTATAATATTGGTAAATATTAACCTCGATGTCGGTAACGTTGTTTCAGCGCCAGTATGTACACTTTAAAGTATCTTTTTACTTTTAAAATATCAAATATGTTAACGGGCTTCTCGATGTCGTTGTAAAACTTGATCACAGATGAGTACAATGGGTTGTATGTTAGTTTGACACGGCTGAATGTTCGGGAGAATGCATCTGAAACAAAAACATACCCGTATTTAATGGGAAAAAGCAAATCCGTACTAGTAATAGTCACTTGTAATTAATAGTAATAGTATAAATGCGAAAGTTTGTCTGTCTGTCTGTTACCTCCTCACGCTTAAACCGCTTAACCAGTTTAAATTTAATTTGGGGTAGAGGTAGTTTTAGTCCTAGGTAAGGACATAGGATAGTTTTTATCCCAGAAATCACAAACTTTCACCCCCCTTTCAGCCCCGAATATATAACAAGCTTCAGTTTATCAAGTTTGTTCTTTTATTTTCAAGGTATAATTAACTAATATGAAAATCTCACTACACAGCTTAAACTACTATGTTCCAACCATGACAGAGATCTTTGCTCAACTAATAATCTTTTACTTTTACTTTTACTATATCCAATACACACTTCTTCTCTTGTTCATTCTTCTTTTACTATCCAATCTATACTACTACTCGTATGGAATGCGCTCCCACTTGCGATCACGATGTCAACAAATCGTGACACGTTTAAAGCCAAAGTCCGAGAACTTTAAACAGCTAACAGAAACATTGTATATATTTATTCTATAGAAATTATAGTATATATTATATTCTGTATGTATATTACATAAATATGTATTTGTGTATTCGTCTTTTGAAAGTGTTATTTTGTATTTGTCAATGCTTAGTTCATAGCTTCATTGTACATATCCTCCTGCCATGTCCCTCACTGAACTATCTAAAGGTTGACTGGTACATAATGCCATGTGGCAATAAGTCCGCCTCATGCAATATGTAATGTAAGAAGTGTAAAATAAATAAATAAATGTTTTCCTCATATGCAGTTGGATAGCAGACCTAATTATTTTAATATCGTGTGCATATGACGGCAAGGAAAAAATGAGAACAATAGCAATAGCATGCAGTATAAATAATAATATAAGCATTTCTAATAATATTAATTTAGTAGGTTCTGTATAAATGTAAATTATAGTTTTGTTTGTAAAAATATCACCTGTGAAGACTTGTCGTAGGTGAGTAAGTTTTTCTTTTTTAATTATTTAACTTTATGCACTTTTGTACATCGGCGGACTTAATGCCCAGGGCATTCTCTTCCAGTCAACCTTTGGGTGGTGTAGAAATCTTGTAAGGTAGGTGCACAGATTTTACGTCTTAACATATTAAGTAATTAATGAAATATATGTAACGGTTCGCTACATACACAAACCTATACATACACACATACAACACATCATATCATAAATACACACACATACAATCATACACATACATATGTATTCAATTATATTTACTTATATTGATACATAGACATATTATATTCGCACACTATAAATACCGAAATTTGAGGTATACTATGGATTAGATAGTTCTGCCATTTCGTCAAGAAGGAGATCGTGTACCTTCTTTTTGAAAATAAAGCGTTATGTGGACATCCTGACTTCGACCGGGAGCACATTCCAGAGTGGTAGTCGGCGTTTCATTCCAAGTTTAATAACGGTTAAATACTACCTCATTTCTTCTGTTACTTCTCGTATTGTATTGAAGAAAGTTTAGAAAGAGGGGTTTACAACAACAATAGTAAGATACAAAGTACGTTTGATTTAAATAAGTACATATTAAAATACAGCATTCGAAGTATGCTGTATTATAAAATACCGATCACGAAAAAGTTGATGATCTTTGAACGGCTCAACAGATAGTAGTTTAAAAAGTCAGCCTCTGAAAAGTAAAAATAAATAAAATAGATCTATCTGTGTAGAAGCTATAATGACGTAAACCCGGCAAGCTGCCTTTGAATCAAGGATAAAAAGTAGCATTGTCAAGGTTACTAATGACAAATATATAGTTACCTATTTTTTTCCAATAGGCTTGTAAAGATTTAGACAAATTACAAACGTCATTTTACAAATAAGCGTATACATATACATTTTGAACAGAATTAATCAATCCGAGGATATTGGTTAGAATTATATAAATTAATAATTTCACCGATAAATCCAAGATTTCCCAGATATAATATTAAATATTTGATATCCATTAACCAGAGCTCGCCTTTAGCAATATTGGGTAACAAATCATTTATATTTGACATTCGCTCGTCACACGTCAAATAAAATGGAATTTAGTAACAGAAATCAATTTATTTCAATCACAGCTAGTAATCAATGTCATTTATGTTATAAATCAATTATTATTTGGGTCCGTCTTTGATCTGTTCGTGTACTTGTATTTTTAACCGACTTTAAAAACACAAAAGAGGAGATTATTAATTCTTATGTATATTTTTTTGTATGTTTATTACGCGACATCTCCGTCAATTGTGACCCGATTTGCAAAATTTTCAAAAATCCAGGGAAACCCTCAAATTTCACAAGCCCGACAACGTGTTTTAGCTTGTTTGTCTAGCTCTACAGGTATTTGCGTTTAGTAGACGTTATGTCAAGTTGCTGAGCTGATGATGGAAGGGTCCTTGACCTAGAAGTTAGAGGATAACTCTTTCAATAATCTAATCATGTTTTATTGTCACCTTGTTTTTTTCTTTGAAGATATTTGTGTTGGGTTACAGAGATATGTGCACAAAAGAATAATGTATGAGATTACAAAACACTCAGACAAAAAAAAAGTTGGTTACGAAATTATTTTCATGTTTGTTACCTCAAAACTCTTCCAATTGTAAACCGATTACATTTTTTTTTTATTGGAGTTACGCCTCACGAATCACTATTCGTTGTGAACATGCTAGTTGGACCAAAGTAATTGTTCAGTGCAGTTAAAATCATTAAATGGATATGCTTTAACTAGACTTTTTTATACATTAATTTTGTGAGTTTTTAACGATATTCTGTGTTCTTGAGGGTGCATAAGGGTGCAAGTACTTTCTAGTGCAATCACTAAAAAGTACTTGCACCCTCATGCACCCGGGCTAGAAATTACATAAATATATCATAGCCACATCTATTAGCTTTTGAATTTTAGTTATTTTAGCCTGAGCACAAGAGTGAAAGTCTGTTTTTCAGAATACGAATTGAAATGTTTGATGAATGGCAGAAGCATCCCAAAGAGAATCGTAATTTTTCAAATATTGAAATGGAAGCATCTGCAAGGATAATTGGAAGATTGTCATCTAAATTGACAGTAAAATCTAACAGTTCTGGGAAGAGTCGCGATTGTTTCCTGACTCAGAACTCTGAGTGGTTGGCTGGGTATTTAACGTTTAAAATTTCCATCCAACAGTGTATTTCGCTGAAGCCAGTGTAAAAACAAAAAGGAGGCCCGTGGACGACCGCCTTCAATCACAAAACCTGTCAAGGGATGACTTCTTCCGGTCTTCGTGGCACTTCAGCCCAACGTTGGCAGACAAAGGTGTGCTCGGCGGAGTCAACTTCTCCCGAAAATAGTCCCGATTGTGTGTACTACACAATCGGGACTATTTTGGCTACCCATACATGGTGTAGATAGGCATTAAACTGCTAATGTCCAGTAAGAAACTGTGTGAAGTAGTAATCTACCACTCCATCTTCCCGTAGGACCCAGTCACGGATTCGCTCAATAAGCCTATAAGTTCAACGCCCGATTGCCCCGGACTCCCAGCGCCTTTGCCAGAGCGTAAAAGTCTCCTCATATTCTCGAGTCCTAACGTCCAACAAAGGTTCCTCGCCAGCCCGCCGAGCATCCCAGATACGCCTCTCGAAACCAAAAAGGTCGATTGGAATTGTACCGGAAATGACCAGAACAGCTGCCTCAGATACCGTTCGATAAGCACAGGCTATCCTCAGCGCGCCTCGACGTTGTATGTACCGATTCCTCCCGCCAGACCTCCACTCCATTGAGCATGGAAACATTCATAAGAGTTCGTCTGCGACTGCTCCTTGGTCTCCTGACATTTGGCATTAGCCGAGAGAGACTTGCCACTGTCGTTGCCGCTTTTGTGGCCGCACTGGGGACCTGTTCTCGAAATGTTAATTGCGAGTCGATCAGCACCCCGAGTTATTTAAGGGACCATCGATTCTCTATATGTTGGTCAACGACAAGACCATGAAGAGGCCACGAAGAGAACCACCTCTAGGCTGTGAGCACCACGACATCTTCGCTGTAGCCCACGACATGAAATGCTCACTTAACCACGCGTCGACTTTTGTCGCGACAAGACTCATCAATCTCTGCGCTTCGCCATAGCTCCTCGCAAGCACTAACACCGCTACATCGTCGGCAAATCCCTCCAGTAGTACTTCTGTTGGTGCATCGTATAGTATGATCCAAAGCTTCGGGCCTAAGACCGAGCCCTGAGCCGCACTCCTACTAAGTTATTTCATGATCTCCCCCAAAGTAGTAGTTGCTTATGATATTTATGAGATGCCAAAACCTCCTTTCTAAGGAGAGGCCTATGTCCAGCAGTGGACTGTTAAAGGCTGTTGATGATGATGGTGATCATTTATGAGATACCCGGAGATACCTAATCTGTAAGCGCTTCAACAATGTCCGTCCAATTTGCGGAATTAAAAGCATTCTTGACATCGAACGTCATCATTATGCATACGGGACGAGACCTATGGTTTCCTCTTCAGGCAGCCCTGGCAAATCAGAGCGCCTCGGAGATGGCCCTATTGTACTGTGGCCGGGTCGAAAGCCTTGCTGGTTTTCACCGCTGTCACTCAGCCCTGAGCAGCGCGATCTCAGCAGTCCATCAGTAAACCGGTTTTCTACGTAAGCTTACAGTCCGGCGAGGCATAGCGGCGTCGCACCCTACTACGATGACATTCATCATTCGACCAACGAGCATCTCTACATCTTTTATTTATTTATTTATTTATTGAGTCTTCCTGCAAACATATTGCATAAGGCGGACTTAATGCCTCAGGCATTTACTTTCAGTCAAACCTTTGGGTGTTGCGAAGCTGTGTGTGGCAGGTGTATATAGGTCTGGTGGTCACATCTGCAACCAGCTTTGGTCAATCGGTCGTCCCCACTGCTCCTTCACGACAACGCGCGACCCCATACTGCGCAACAGACAGTCTCCAAGCTGCAAGAGCTGGGGTTGGAAGCTCTCCCTCATCCGCCATACTCACCAGACCTTGCACCTACCGACTATTACTTTTTCCAAAATTTAGACAACTTTTTAGTGGGTAAAAAATTCAATTCCCGAGAGGCAGTACAAAATGCCTTTGAAGAGTTTGTTGCCTCCCGTCCAGCTGATTTTTACAAGAAGGGCATCAATAAACTGCCAATGCGTTGGCAAAGATGCGTCGATTGCATGGGTGATTACTTCGAATAACAGAAATAAAAAAGTTTGAAAAAATAAGTACTTTCACTTATTGCATACAAAAAGGCAATTTCATAGGTAGGACTTAATACATATAAATATCATAATAAATGCCAAAATATATATATATATATATATATATATATATATATATATATATATATATATATATATATATATATATATATATATAATCATACACATCTTCACACGTATACAGCTTCGCTTGTAATACGAGATGTATTGATGATCACTTGGCGTATACTCCTCCTCCTCCTCCTCTTCCTAGATGAATTTCCCCTATTTACAATGACCAAGTCAAGACATCACGATTTCTCCCTTAAGATGGCGGTCGACTCTGTCGAGATTGTCAACTCTCCTTCGGAAGTCAGCAATAGGCTCGTTTGGGGTGAAGTAACACGACACGAAAGTAACTGCTGGCGTTACAACCTATACAATGCCGTCTCCAAAGGCACTTTCTCTTACGGAAAGGCGACCCGGAATCCCAAATTGCCGTTGTCCCCGAAGAGTCACAGAGCCAATCTGGTCAGACACTGCATGATATTGTTCGGAAACCAAGACCATATCCGCTCCGTGGTCACGATTTCGCGCAAGCAGCAGATCAATAGCTAGCCTGCATCGCTGCAAATTTGCTTGCATCACCTTAGCCATTTTTCTTCCGGGAGTAACTCCCGATAGGACACACAACGCCCAGAACCCGTTACGTGATCTGAGGATCGCCCGTTCCGTATTGCTGCACATAGATGGAGCGCGGAGGTTTGATACAGGCCTTGGACTGATGACCCACTTCCTCACACTGCCAGCAGCAACCACTTCGGTCTTCCTCTGCCCTGCACGAGCTCGCAAAGTTACCCAGTCCATGGCACCGGTAGCACCGGTCCAGTCGCTCCCAACGGCGAATTCGGCAGCTCAACCAACCGACCTTAATCTTTCCCATCGGTAGCACCTCTACGTCACCCCCGGCAGCTTCAGTGATCCTTTTGCCGAGTGTTGAGCGATTTTTAACAGATCCGTCAAACTCAACTAGATGACCACCTTTTCTGGCAGTCCTCACGGCCCTTACCACTAAGCCAAAATTCTCCGGTTGCAGCCCCGAGCGTGGAGCCCTCAGAACTTCACCAGATGACTTGCCCTTGCCTGGGTTTATCAGCACCGCATCCGGTCGTTGCTACTTTCTCGCCCTCTGGTCCTGCTTGGCTGTTTTGGTATGTTGTGTTTCTGACCCTAAACCTGTAGGCCCTGAACCTGGTTTCTTCATCCAGCAGTCCATCAAACCAGCAATTTTCCGGCAGAAAATTACAATGATTTTCGACTCAGCATTATATACAAGGTGCTTATAAGGGACATCGTAACGAATACTAAAATAGTGTATTCATACCATCATTCTAAGTCGTAAATCATTGGAATTTTCAGCCGGAAAATTAAACTTTTTACTAATTTGTTTTCGATGAAATATTCTGTTTACTCATTGTGATATAATTTTTAACTAAAAAAAATGCAAATAAAAAAAAGTGAATAATTTTCCGGCAGAAAATTCCAACGATTTTCGACTCAGGATCATGGTCTGAATACACTATTTCAGTATTTGATACGATGTCCCTTACATCCTGTATAGTACACAGACAGACCGATAAAGATTGTAAATGACTAATTTATTGTTGTGCTAAATTAAATTAACCACATTCCGATAAATGGATGTGTTGTACTCATATTGTTGTTAGGTACACATCAAATATGAGTCTAACAAATACATTTATGCTTCTTAGAGCTCGGTACTAGTTCTTTTTAACTACAACATTCATTGATGGCAAATATATAATAATAGGGAATAAAACACATACGCATTTTTTTTTTAAACAATTATCGAAGCGACTTTTATATATGCAGAACTTTTTGAGTTTTTGAAGCGTACACAAACCAACTTAAAATTTATAAATATACTAGCTGACCCGGCAAAAGTTGTTTTGCCATATACATTATTTCTAGGAAATATTGAAAAAAAAAATAGGGGTGGGTCACCCTTGTACTTTAGGGGTATGAAAAATAGATGTTGGCCAATTCTCAGACCTACCCGGTGTGCACACAAAATTTCATAAAAATCGGTGAAGCCGTTTCGGAGGAGTATGGTAACTAACATTGTGACACGAGAATTTTACATATAAGAAGATAAATATATAGACAGAAGGAGATAGATAGATGATACTGCCTTTTTAAACAGTAGGTATCGTTAAAACAGAATCGTTAAAAGCGGTATTTTGCTAACTTCAATAAAAAAGTGAATAACACGTTTATGTTACTTGCGACTAATATTAATAATAGACTATATATTTATTTATATGTATAATAGACTGCACGAATGGCGTAGTGGTTTAAGCGGTCGTCACGCCGCTTCCTACTGCGCCTAGTGTTGTGGGTTCAAAGCCCACATGGGACGACACTTTGTGTGATCCACAAATTGTTGTTCTGCGTCTGGGTGTTCTTTGTGTCTGTTTCATGTATGTTTGTAAAGTCACCCGTGACACAGGATACATTCTTAATGCGGGAGTTGTCTTTAAAAATAATAATAATAATAAATACTAACTAAATAAATTAATTAAAACTGATTAATGATTTAACCTAAATATTTGTATGCCAGATTTTGTTTTTGCCTTGAATTTATTTTCCCCAGAATAAAAAAATGTACAAGGAAAATCACCCTTGTATTTTAATATGTATTAAAATTATATGTGCATTAGTTTTAGAACGTTATAATTTGTTGATACAACATGACGTATTATAAATTATTTCACTTGGAGTTTATATCGTGTCTTATTTTTGTGAATTTCGTTGTTTGTGCTACTGGTAAGGGTTTTCATCTAATTTATAAACGCCCGTGTCACGATGTTTGTGGTCGCACTGCTTCGAAACGGCCCGACCGATTTTAATGTTTTTTTTACACACATATTTCACCAAACTTTCAAGACTCTAGCATTTCTCGTTTCAAAGTAAAAATATTTTGAAAATTTCAGAAATATCAACAGGTTTTTGTGATTATTTAAATACATAATTAATGAAATTCTATCAACCGGGAGTCAAATGAATCAATTTAAAAAAAACTCTGATTTCCGTGTTAAACTTAAAAGCGACTTTCAAACAATGTTCTGTCTATCCCATTTGGGAATAATTTCAGGGTTTTATTCTTTAATGGTAAATACGTCTATTTTTACGCATGGTTGTCTGTTAAGAAATATTTCTACCGTTACTTCTAATTCTAGACGATAGAAGTATTTGATAAAACTTAGAATGTTTTGTTTTACTTAATTGACCTTATTATAACATAAATGAATTTTAGTATAAGATGTATTGTCACATACTGGGAAATACTTTCTGCATCATTTTCTTATAATATTAAATAACTTTTTTAAATGTTTACAAAAATTGAGTTATTCTACATACATATATCTCTACATGTATCTCTACATATAAACCAAAGTAAAGAATACTTTAACATCATCATCAACAGCCTTTGGTAGTGGACTGCTGAACATAGGCCTCTCCTTAGAAAGGAGATTTTAGGCCTACTATATCACGCTGGCCACGTTGTTATAGGGTTTGTTTCAAGTTTTCCTTCTCTTTGCAGTGCTGTTGTACTGCGTTGTTTGCTCTCACACACAGGGAACTATTGTTATTAGGTCAAAAAACACTAAAATACTAATATAATTAATTCGCATGTAATTTCGTATGAACATACATACTAATCTGATGTAATCATACATTGTTCTGAGTCTGGGTGTACTTTGTGTCCGTTTCATGTATGTTTGTAAAGTCCCCCGCGACACAGGATTTATTCCTAGTGCGGGAGTTGTCTTTTTAAAAAAAAAAAAAAAAAAATCGCGCCGACAAAGTGGTTAAATAAAATCTTGAAAAATATTTTATTACCTAGCCTTTAAAGTGATGATGTTATTTTCTAAATTCGTCCATCAAATGATTTGGGGTGTCATTGGATAAGTCTTTTAAAAATGATAAGGGTTTGTGAAGACAACATTTTTTTTAAAGGGTTTTAAGGGTTTATGAGATATTAAGCCTTAAAGAGCTCATTTTTGTTACAGTCAAGTCCCTTCCCCTCCCTCTAGCCAAACGGCAGTATTTGGAGATCTAAATATAACGAATATAAAAGAAAAACTAACAAACCTAAATAGGCTTTATTAGTCCTTTTTTAGTCACTATCGTCCTATGTGGACCCGTTTTTAAACGTCATGAGGCGCCAACTCCGTTAAACACTCAGCAAAACACCAAAAATCCCGTGTATTAGTTTGTATTATTGTGATAGGTACCTACTAATATTTAGATACGATACGATAACGAATGAAGCGATGAAATTTCGTATACGTATTAATTTATACGTTCACGAAATTTCACGACTACTATTAATTTGCTAAATGCTAATTAAGAATTAACAATTAAATATGAGTGTGAAGACTAATTATTCCATCAGTACTATACAGGGTTACAAGAAAAGTCGTGCTAGATCCGTTAAGGGCGTGGAGTACCCATCATTTCTGACATATTTCACTATGAAACACTCTACCCTAAACTTAACCCTTTTCGAGATAATCGTCTTTTAATTTTTTTATTGAAATTTGCTGATTTTTAGGCTACTACATTTATTTTTGTTTATTTTGTGTATCTTATTATTATTATTATTGCATTTTTACATGTGTAATAAGATGCTTTAGGACGTCAGTCATTAAAATAGTTCATAAGTTAATTGAATAGATCGTAGTAGACAAGTGAAAGTAAAGAAATAAAAATATATTATAAAATTATTTTTCTCTAACGGATGTCTAAAAACAATATTATGGTAATTGTTCGGCAGATGTTTTTTAAAATATCTACGTTTCATCAGCTATCTAACGAGGTATAACAATCTAGGGTTTGTATTACATTTCGTGGAAAAAAAGTAGTTGGGACGCTCCAGGTAACAGTTCTAACGGTCCCGCGCCTATTGTCCTTCAAGTTAAGACGCACCAAGCGAGCGAGACAAGTGACGATTTATGTAGGTGCGAATGAAAGTTCGTACATAGTAGATGTGATATCGTTTTGCTCTTTTTCTCGACTTGGCTGTGATTCTGGACTATTTCTTCTGATTTGTGACTACTGTGCTTGTTAACCGGACTCTGATTTGTACCTGTGATACGGAAGTGTTGAAGATGACGTCCTACACACCTGAGGAATGTGCTGATATGCTTATTTGTTACGGATACTGCGATTGTGTGTCTGCGCAAGCTCGCAACGAATACATAACTCGCTACCCTGGTCGTCGAGTGCCGGATGTGGCCGTTTTTGACAGAGTTTATCGAAGACTTCGAGAAACTGGCTCTGTTTTGAGACGAAATACAGACATGGGAAGACCACGAATTGACGACGAAGAACAGGACAATGAGATAGTGCAACGCTTTCGAGCGGATCCGACTACTTCCACTAATATTGTTGCCCGTGATCTGGGACTTTCGCAATGGAGAGTGTGGTTTACAGTGCATACTGCTAGCCTATACTCGTACCATTACACGCCGGTACACGTTATTGAAGAAGGAGACCACGCGAGAAGATTGGACTTTTGCAGATTTATGCTAAATGCTGACGTAGAAGACCCAGATTTTCTAAGAAATATCTTGTGGACGGATGAGTCCAAATTTGATAAAGATGGCATAACTAACTATCACAACGCCCATTACTGGGCCCCAAAAGAACTAAGGAATCCCAATAAGAAAAGAGTGAAGGGGTCCCGACGAAGATTCAGCGTGAATGTGTGGATGGGCATTATCTCCAATCATTTGATTGGACCTTACTTTCTCCCAGATAATCCCAGATATAAAATGAGGACCACGTTGACCACTGGAGTAGTGAAGACTGGTCTCCGTAGAAGGATGCGACAATGTATCAGAAATAGAGGCGGCCATGTTGAACATAAACTGTAGAATAAGAAAAAGTTGTGTGAAAACCTTTAATAAATGACATTTCATGCTTAACTATTGTTTTATTTTACTTTTTTGGGCTAAGTATAAATTTTCTTCTCCACTGTCGCCTATGAAACTTTTTCAATGCATTTGAATAAAACCTTAGATTATTATACCTTGTTAGATAGCTGATGAAACGTAGATATTTTAAAAAACATCTGCCGAACAATTACCATAATATTGTTTTTAGATATCCGTTAGAGAAAAATAATTTTCTAATATTTTTTTTTATTTCTTTACTTTCACTTGTCTACTACGATCTATTCAATTAACTTATGAACTATTTTAATGACTGAAGTCCTAAAGCATCTTATTACACATGTAAAAATGCAAAAATAATAATAATAAGATACACAAAATAAACAAAAATAAATGTAGTAGCCTAAAAATCAGCAAATTTCCATAAAAAAAATAAAAGACGATTATCTCGAAAAGGGTTAAGTTTAGGGTAGGGTGTTTCATAGTGAAATATGTCAGAAATGATGGGTACTCCACGCCCTTAACGGATCTAGCACGACTTTTCTTGTAACCCTGTATAGTATTTGTTAATAAGAAGTTTAATTATAGAGTAGGTATAACATAGGTAATTTAAGTTTTGAAGAATGTAACGTGTACATACGTTGTAAATAGGTATTTTGAGAATAGATGGGGATAGTTTTTGTAAATAGATAGTGGAATAGATAGTTAATAAAGTGACGAATTGACGAAGGCTAGCATATCGCGAACAAACCCTGTATTGCATTATTTCTGTAATAATGTTCTAGTTAATAAAATAGCAGCCACTTTTGATAAGTAAGTTTCGGTAAGTTAAAATATAATAAAAATAACTTATTTATGTAAATTTAATACTTAGTGACACCTACGTATTAATTTTACATAAATTATGATCTTAGTTACGATCGTTTTTCATTTGCTCTCCTTGTATGAAATTGCAATATTAGCAAATAATATTAGCATATTGCTAAGATATAAGCATTTGCAATTAATTAAATTAAATCTAATTAGCATTAATGCCTATTACTAGCTGGTACCCGCGACTTCGTTTGCGTGGAATTTGAAAAACGCTGCCTTAGGGTTCAGTTCCCGGGCCGGCCAAAATTTTATTGGGTTTTTTTCTGAGATAAAAAAGTTTTTTTTTTTTTTTTAAATCACAATATGAAGTTCACCAATTACTTTTTCAGAGTACATTACGAATAACACTATCACTGTTGCTGAAGGAACAGATGTGTATATGCATTTGGATCTTTATTTTACTCGTAAGCCTACGACTTGCTGGCTGTGTGGACCCGATGACAAGGCATATACTCAATTCGAACCCAATACAAAATACATGGGTTACTGCGGATTTTTAGTCAGAGATATTGATATCAGTCAGACCGGGAAATGGTCGATTATGAATGGTGGTATAATAAGATCATTTCAGATTCATGTCAGAGGTAAATAAATATATCTATATTAAGATATTTTAACCAGAAAAATAAAAAATAGTTTTGATGTTAAGAAGCTGCTTGTTTACTATTTATTTACAAAGCCCAAAAACACATCGCCGATGTATTTTCAAATACGTACACATCCATGCTTATATTGTAAACTAGCTGAGACCCGCGGTGTTACCCGCGTTTGTTGTTATAACCGCGGGCAACGCTGCGGGGCGAAGCTAGTCTAAAAAAAGTTGCCTAAGATACTCCTTATGTCATCAGCTATCTGCCAGTGAAAGTCCCGTCGAAATCGGACCAGCCGTTCCAGAGATTACCCGGAACAAACAGACAGACAGACAAACAAAAATTTTAATAGTACAAAAAAGCGGTTATTTTAATATTACAAACAGACACTCCAATTTTATTTATTTGTATAGATATGAAAGTTAGTTTCTTTGTGTGTAACACCTTCACGCCTGAACTGCTAAACCGATTTTAAAATTATTTCACCTATTAAAAGCTACATTATCAGCGATTAATATTGGCTACTTCTTACCGCGATAACTGACATACATTCGGGCGTATACAAAAACTAGTATTGTAGCTAAATTAAACACAGACACGGAACAAATCGTGACTAGCCATGACATGCCTTAACAAACAAGTTGTCAACAAATTCCAATTACGGTTACGTGACACTTACACGATCGAATGTAACCCATAGACTTCTACTATCCAGTCCACCACTTTTTTTTCTTTTGCGACAATCCCCTCGGATACCACTTACCGGTGGCAAAGTCGGACTCGAACCGACTAAAACCGCACGCCGTCTCAGGTACCAGTAGTCGGGGAACCAGGTGTACCCTAGAAAGGAAATCCCTGGTGCCCCGACGTACCTCGGGCCTTCTACGGCGGGTAGACGACCCTCCTGTGTGGGAACCCACATGTTCCCTCTGTGCTCCCGAAAGGGCGCGCGCGCCTCGCAGCCAAGGCCTGCTTCTGCTTCCCCAGTCCACCCCTAAAAATACTCGTAAGAAATCTTTTTCACCATTGCGTTCTGTATCTACTTTTCTCTTTGATATACTCCAAATCCCATCCCGTCACCGTGTGATGACGAATTAAGAATTCGGAGTTTCACAACCCCTATTCATCTCGAGGGTGTCGTAAGAACCTACTAAGGGAGCAAACTGCGCAGGACGTAAATCTCCTTTCGAAGGAGAGGCCTTGTGGACTATTAAAAGGGTGTTGATGATGACAATGATTTCCTTGTTGACAAAAATAGCTCAGTTGGCGTTTAATACGCTTGTGTCTGTCTAACCCTTCTGGCATATAGGCGTAAGTGTATGTTCGTATGTTTCTTACAGTAGTAGTAGTAATGATAATGACAATCATTCTTCAACAGAGTCACCAGTGACAGTATCAGTGAACGGCGCTCGACTGTCGACTACAGAGAAACGATTAAAAATCGAAACAGCAAATAAAATGTATTTTGCGACATATTATTATCGGGAGGGTGATAAAGTGGATGTTGTCTGTATAAGTCTAGCAGTGAACAACATTGTTAAAAAACATTATGTCCATTTAAAATATAGTTACGCCGAAGCACTACACTGTAAGTAATATTTTAACTTTTTACTCTCTAAGACATTTCAAAAGAGGTAATTTTGAATCTCTCTCTGTATAAAATGTTAAGTTGATTTGTGTACGCTTAAAAACCTCAATAAATTATAGTTTTAAAAACCTAAAAAACAAGCTTTTGTAACTAACTAGTTGAACTAAAAGGTAGAATATAATTTTCTACTAGTTCAAAAAAAAACATTTTATCGTAAAAAAGCGTGGGTGCTAGATCCCAATTGTTGTCAAAATATTTAAAAAACAGATATTGGTAAAATTAAATTTATTTTTTTTAAATATTATAATTCATTTTTGCTTTTTTAGTCATTAATTTATTATTATTTATTTAAAAATTAACTAAATTTCTAATTATGACTAAAAAACTAAGTAGTAAGTTACATATGCTTCAGCATACGTTTTAGTACGTGACAAAAGACACTACTGTATTTTAGGTAAGGAAAAAGCCGTTAGTGCTGAAGATCCTGATCAGGATGGTCGGACATATTTATCAAATTATTGTGTTTATTGAACCTCGATAAGAATGCGAATTTTGAATTCCATCCGTCAAGACGACAACTTTTAAACGCTTATTTAATTTGATCTATTAAAAAGTAAAATAAATGTCCATTATTTCAGTATCTGTTGGAAGACTGAAAAAATCGGTCCATTGAATAGATAATATAGTTAACATTTGCATTTACAGATGTTTACAAAACATTTTCATCGTATACCCGAACTGGATTTCGGACCACACTGCAGGCTGCTCACAACAATAGCTTTATGTCGTGCAAATGTGCGCATTTAGAATCTTATACCACATATAAAACAGTTCAAATCACGTTTCTATTACATAGCGCATTAGATGGTAAGTAATGAAATTAACATTATATGTAATGTAATTCGGAAATGGTCAAAATAAGTGCTTATAAATGAAAATAACTGAAATTTTAAATTTGGAAACAAATATTTGAACCACCAATTGTCAAAACTTCGCGAATAATGACAAGAATATTTTTTGAAGAGGCCATGATCACAGAAATTGGAAGGAATTGAAAGGAAATTGTTGTTTGGTAACTACACACTTACAGCGTTACTAATAAAAAGCAGTGGACGGCTTTTTAGCTGAGATGGTGATGATGATATAAATTATCAAAGCCAATTTCTGCATAAACAAATCACGGGGCCAATAGATAGAGTCACATTCATTTACGTCCATGAAAGTATCCGCTGCGTCATCTCAAACTTCTTGTCGAGTCTATGTTCTGAGAGCTAGGGAACCATTCTAGTACTAAAATTCTTTCTCACTGAACCGAAATACAAATGATTTGTGTAAAACAAACAAATTTATGAATCAAAAATATATTTAAACATTTCAGCGAAGCCGAAGACAGCAAATATTCGAAATAAAGAAGCCACTGGTTTAACAAATATTATCAAAATTCAATTCGGCTCTTCAAGTAATTGGGAAGGTGTGTAAGAATATTTCGGACCTCCGCTCAAAATACATCATATAACTCAAAAAATCTAGATGTTCAAAATTTATTCCAGTTTTATGTTTGGCTTTACGGGCTTTAGTTTAAAAAGAGAATAAACAACATGCAGCAAGTTAGAAGCTTGCATGGAGCTAAATTTGTAGCTCCACGCGTTCTAACTTGTTCTAACATTACCGAGTAGAAGCCTTTTTCTAGATGATTAGATTTTTTGAGTTGTTAGGATATTTAAGTGGAAGTGCGAATGTCGAAAGTTGAAAAAAAATTACCAACATAATTAGCTTTCGAACCTCATGCGGTCATTCCCTACTTAAATTTCAATTATTGTCAGCCAACGCTTTCAAGAGTTCTGTCAGTATTTTACTCCAAACAAACTTGTCTATCAGTGTTTGATCAGCAATCTCTAAATTATGCCATCATTATTATGAGCTGTCTTTAACAGTCCACTGCTAGACATGGGCCTCTCATTAGAAAAGACGTTTTGGTCTACTATACCACGCCGGCCGGACGGGTTGGTGTAGGGTTTGTGTCAAGTTTTCCTTCTCTTTGCAGTGTTGTGGTCCTGCGTAGTTTGCTCTCTTAGCAGGCTCTTACGACACCCACGGGATGAATAGGGGTAGTGACACTCCGTATTCTTAATCCGTCATTCACGGACACTTAATTATGTGTAATTTAACAATATTAATTAAATATACTGGTTAAATAATTTATGTACCGAAAGTTTTATAACCCGATTAACTTAGAAAGGCCTATATTATTATAAAAACATATAGAAATAAAAATATATTTTAAGTTGTTATAATATTAATAACCTTCTTACAGACACCATACCATTGCAACTAAATTTACCAGAGAACAAACAATTATTCCAAATGTACGCTTTGGGTAAAAAACAAATAATTTATTATGAGTACGAAGAAGACGAGCGCTTGACTGCAAATTGCAGTACATCATCGGAGATCATGCATATATACCACTATTATTTAAACTTTAATAGAGAAGGTAATTTATTATCTTTAAACCTACAAAAAATAGTTAAATCTGGAATTGTAATAAATGATGATGTTCACTTAAGTCCAATCGATAACTACATAGCTAATCCCTATATCTCACAAAATTTTTTTGTACTATAACTTTTTAAAACCAACTGTTTTTGTTGATCTGTGGCTAGTATGAATCTGTTCTAGTTTCCACTATAATCACTCTTTGAATTGTGACTTTTAGTCCCATTCCTCATTCGCCCCATCCTCAGTCCTTTGCCTACACAGGGGTTTGCGGCGGGATGGTGTATCGGAATCGGACCGACTAATACCACACGTTCCAATTTACGCCTGTAATAGGAGGGATCCGGGAACTGCTGTTATTAAGACCTCTGGACCCCTCCTAGCGCTTGCCCGCAACGGCGTGGGCACCACCTTCGGGTACATTCTCTATTTAGGCGACGTCTGGCATACGTGGACGTCACCTCCTCGCGGCTGGCCGTTACAGTGGGTGGAGGGGAAAACCCGACCCGTCCACCCGCTGCCACACACATGAGGCGCTGGTAGGCGAGCATCCGCCGCCCGGTTCGTCGGCGACGAATTAGGTAAATTCGACGCAAATTAGACGATGACCGGCTGGAGCGCCTCCACAGCGGCAAAACTAGTACGTGTAGCCTCCAGCCCGAGACGACCATCGTGGCTAGACAAGCGGCCTCACGCCAATAGCGCACTTCTTCGGGCGGGAGCCGACTGCCGCATACCACCCAGAACTCCGTCGTCCGCCGATATACTTCTGGGCTGCGCCAATCTTAAAAATATTTGGAATTGAATTTTAAGATAAAAATAAACTACCTGACTTGATAAACAAGGTTTAAGGTCTAGTAGTTGGTGGTACTGAATCCTAAGCCGGAGGTAGTGGTCGTCGATTCCCGATTGCCCGATGGGACAAATAATTGTGTGGCGCACGGTCACTTGTTCTATGTCTGGGTGTAATTTATCTAAAATGTTTACGTATTTAGAAATATTGACTGCACGGATGGCGTAAGTGGTTTAAGCGATCACCACGACGCTGAGTGTTGTGGGTTTGATCCCCACATGGGACGACACTCTGTGTAATCCAAAAATTTTGTTCTGAATCCTGGTGTTCTTTTTGCCGTTTCATGTATGTTTGTAAAGTCCCCGCGTGATATATTCCTAAAGCGGGAGTTGCATTTAAAATATATGTAAGTATGTTTATCCGCAATCTGATTACTATAGCTCAGGCTCTGAGTAGTTTAGGATGGTCGTCCATTTATTGTGTGTGAGGTTATTTTTATTAGTTTAGGAAAATGTACTAATAGATGTTTTAGAGTATTATTGTGATGTTTTAATCCTAATTTACTAATAAGTAATGTTCTTCTTTCAGCCTCTTATTCTACCCCCTATGTCACGTTAGACAAGCGATTGAGTCCAGCTGATAACAATACGATAGTTCGATGTTATCTTTTACAAACTATTAAAGGGGCATTTCAGCCAAAAATTATAAGAAAAATTAGTCTGTTCCTTCGGATGAGTTCGCCTAGGAAAGTGACGAAGATTATGACTGAAGGTATATGATACATACATATTGTCTTACACACTATGATATATAGCTTTTTAAACACAGACATAGGTTTAATTTTTGAAAAAATAAAATAAAATATTTTATAGTAAAACGTAAGTCGAACTTTATATCCGTATTATTTGACAGAGCCGAACGAGTTTTTCTTTGTTAAACTTTACTTTTTATTAAGAGATCCAACAAATTATTAGACTGTAATTGGTCTTACAGACTAAAGTCTAAAAAACATGTCAAACAATAACTAAACGTAACTATTTTAGGAGAGGTGAAATGCAACGAAATAACTGATCACCACTGGTTGTCTTTGAAGCTATGTTATCGCTCCAGTCCGCTTATTATATGTAATATAGCTCTCTTATCATTCTTATTTAATTAAGGAAAAGCTTTATTAAACTAAAAATCCTTTCTGCAAAACAAATTTTGTTCCGGTGGTTCTAATAAAAGCTGTTCGCTGATCACACTGTATGGTTTTAATAGATTTGACTGTAACACAAGAGCGTTAATAATGTTAACATTGTTTTTGTCATGTACATCATTAAAGAATTATATTTTCTTAACAGCCAGTGAGAAAAAAGAATTTAAAATGTGGATAATATATCTGGCAGTCGGCGTTGTGATATGCTTTCTAATCTGTTCCTCCATCTTAATATACAAAATGAAGAAAAGGAAGTGTAACGAACAGGTAAATAGTAATAAATATAGTTTAGCTAAACTAAAAAACACGCTGCGACATCCAACCTAATAAAAGAGTTTAGAGTTTAGTTAAGAGTCGCACTATCGTTCTCTTCTCTTAATTATCAGATCAGCTTTAAGATGCCAAATTAGAGTAGTCTCGTCCAAATTTTATATGCGTATATGACTGTAAGTTAGAATTAGGTTAATTTTAACTACCAAAATTTATTTACATGGTGTAGCTAATCCATACTAGTCTATCCTATCCATACTAATATTATAAATGTAAAAGTGTGTCTGTCTGTCTGTCTGTCTTTTTGTCTGTCTGTCTGTTACCTCTTCACGCTTAAACCGATTAAGATGAAATTTAGTATGAAGATACTATGATTCTTGAAAAAACACATAGGCTACTTTCGGAGCCGCAGGCAAACGCTAGTATTAAAATAAAAGCGAGTTAAATATAACACGTTAAGCCGGATGTTTCGTTCAGGTGGCATTAACCGTGGTCACAGGCGGACTCTGAACTATCCTTCAAATCAATAATGTTCCATAGAATACTTATATATATCGTAACAACACGGTAGACTGTCAAGTGAAATCAGTATTTATCTTATCAAACTTAAACGTTAAAACAATACCTAGGTATTGTCAAATCATTTGGATTTGAAGAACAATTTGAAGGTACTAAAAGAATCAAAACATCAATTTCAAAAAAGAAAACAATTCATGCTGTACTTTAAAATGTTACGTTCAATGATTTCGGCAAATTAAATATTTTAAACATAGGAATCTACCCTACTCTAAATTATCATTGCTAAATCATTTTTTAAACTTAGTTAATATGGTGTTTTATAAACTACTCTATTACATTTCATTACAGGGAAAGACTGCCAATTGTTCTAACAGAGATAGCAGAGGTAGCACATTAAGGAAAGTTACCTCTTCTAACTATGAAGTACATTACTCTGTTCCCAATCATCAGAGAGTCAATCTTTCAGACTATGAAAACATAAACTATGATCCCAAAACAGATCTTACTTATGCCGTTCTAGACTTATCCACCCCTGATGAACCATCAAACAAACTTGACACTGAAAGAGTAATTTATGCCGAAATAAATCATAATGTCGGGTGAAGCAAGAAAAGTAATAAGATAGATCAAACTTATGGGAAAAAAATAAAAGAAGAAAACAGCGTAAAATAAAAAAGAATGATTTGAAAAAGCAGTATGTGACTTCTTCTAGGAGAAAACTGTTGAAGGACGATATTTGAGATAAAAGTATAAACAAACGTACTTATCACTGAATTTAAAAGTTACGAGTATCTGAATTTTAGAACAAAATAGAGAATTAAAAAATAGATACAGTGACACTGGTGAGTGCATTTGGGGATATAAATGGGTGCGGAGACCGTCCGGGCCCAACAGGCTCTCTTTGTTAAGAAGTGTAGCCCTATTTTGTAGTCAAGTAAAATACTGGTTTTGTTCGGAGTCCAACGGTTTCCATGCGTAATGAGGACCTCTACTTCGACAGTATAGTATTGTCAATGGACACTATGCTCGAAATTCAAAATCCAGATGATTTCTATTTTGTAATTATTAATGTTCTTCAAAGTTACAGGGATATTTATGTTTGGAAGTATTTGAGGGTAGCTTCACATACTTAAAAATCTTTGTGAAACCTTTGAAGCTACGATTTAAAAAAATGTAAGTTATATATTTGATCAAATTTATTGAAAAATACAATGTCCTCTTTGTATTGATCTCTAAATATTTGTCCTCACGAATGGTATTACTATTTTATGCTACTATTTTGTAATCTACGTGAAACTTGACGTATAGACATAACTTGACATTAGACATACATTCAAATATTTTTTATTAATTAGGCCTAGTAACAGTGCACTTTCAAAACGTCAAAATTTCAAACCATGATAATGTTGCTGTAGCCCTAAGTTAGAACATACGGTACTAATTATTCCATAAGTATCAGAAAATTTTAATCATTCCGGATTTTCTACAACATTCTAGATGTTTCCACAGAGATGTGGAGACAGTCGGATTATTATGAAATTTCTCGGGAAAGTTTACGAACATTCGGGAACATTCTTTGAGACATGTCCTTTTCTATTTTCATGACGATGTGTTTACATAATTTTATGAAAAGTAGAAAAACAGGTGTTACGTCGAGGCTCCAACGGTCGATGTTGAGAAGTTATATATGTACTAATCGTCGCAAGAACTTTCTAAGCGCGATGTAGGATTACGGCATTGAAGCACATTTTTCGTTGTATGTAGAAATCGCCACAGATACATCATAAGCAGTAAAGATGCGAAAGCAACATACATTTATGACGTTACTTAAGAAATATACTAAGTTTATGTAACTGAAAAACCTTCAGCTGGCAATAGGAAGAGCTCAGAACGAGTACATTGTAACCTTAAGCGATATTCTAATTCAGGTAAAGTCACATACAACGTACGAAGTAAGAATCCAAATAGTCCTAGCTACGGTTTATTTGTGCCGTTATCAATATAAAATCAGAAAATAAGCGTACCTTACGTTAAGTCTGCTGTGTTGTGCCCGACGATACCATCGTGGCCCCTAATATACATCTACCCGTATCTGCTATTTGGAATCCAATTTACGTACAAGAAACAATGTCTAAGTGATAAGAGACGCCACATTGAAGTACTCGTAAACTCGAGCTCGCTTATTTGAAATCTACTTTATCGCATTTTTGAGAGATTTGATCATCTTTTTAAAAATAAAGTGTCTATTTCTTGTTTTATGTTTTTTTATTCAACAACTTTAAAAAATGTCACAGATAAACTTTCCAGTTCTACTCTACTAAAACCACTTTATCGATTCATATTATTATGAAAAAATTATCAAAATTATGTCAATCAAGACTGCTTTTTTTATGGAATAGGGGACAAATGAGCAAAGTGGCACCTGTTAGTAAGCGACACTACCGACCATGGATTATCTGCAACTCAATAGTCACAGAGCGCATTGCCGCTCTTTATGCACCCTTCCGCCCACCCTGCGAAGGGTGGGGGTTTGGTCATGTATAACGTCACTCACTCGGTGAACTGTAAGGCCGATAATCACAAACACAACACCCACCTAATTACAAAACACAGAAAACACAAACCTATTCTGAGATATGAAAAGTGAAATTACGCAATAATTCCGCAACTTTAAGACTACTCCCGCTTTTTCTTATAAATTACTCCAAACCCAAAAACCCTATAGCTGAATCGGAATTCTTTTTACGGATGCAGTAAAAATTTAGGCTCAAAGCATCGAAGGAATCTGCCCCCTAATGTTACTGCCGTTGAAGGAATCGACTTTTATTCAAGTCGATTGATACGCAAATAGATTCAGAATAGTGAAACGGAGGCTTTTGTCAATGTAAAGTTTTTGTGTTCGCAAATTTGGACTAACTTTAAGTAGGTAGTAGAAACATACAGAAAGGAGTTAAAGGTACATTGAAAAAAGTAAATTTGGTTAAAATACAATATAGAAGAGCTACGCTTAGGATCGGTGTCGGTCAGTAAACCGATGATAAAAGTTTTTTTAAGGTTCTCAATTAGTATTATTTATTTTTGTTTTGTTTTTTTTTTCAATATTAAATGATAAATGAATTCTGTGCTTTTTACAAAGTTAGTGAGGTTAAAGGCTGTCCTCTCTGATTTTGGGATGGATACTCAAAGCAAAAGGGAACTTGTGTCTTATGAGTTGTAGATTTCCATGGGTGGCGGTAGTCACTTACCATTAGGTGAACCGTCAGCTCGTTTGTCTAAAAATAACAAGAAAATATTTTGTTTGGTAAGGTTCCATCATAATAAATACAATGACCAACCTGGTAGGCTGAAAACAAATCTGCAAATAGCACAATAATCAACTGTACGAAGAGTACATTTCCACAACAATTTTGTACTGACAGTATACATCGGGCCTTTAAAACCAATAAGTGCCAACTACAAAGTCAATAAATAGCATAGCTTTAGGCTATTCTACTCTTCGATTAATTTATTTTCGACTATATACCAAATCAATCTTAGTTTGTCTTCTTGCGAAACGAACAAACTCTTGAACTAAAACAGTTGAAATAATAACCTAATAACATTGTGTAAGTAACTCACCGAAGAAAAGATAAAGAAAAAAATAAGTAAATAAGAAACGGAAAGACGAGGTTTAAATACGAGCTAAAAGGAAGAAAAACAGTAGTGACTTAAATATGAAGCTCACAAAACGCATGTGTTATATAGGACAGATTTTTTTTTCTTTCAAATAATATTAACATTCTAAGGTATTTTCTATACAAATGCATATAGACATACATGTACACAAATATTTGCACTAAGCTGGAAAAAAACCTCGTAGATTTCCATCTTCATTGCAGTCAAATGATCAACCGCGCTGCCACGCCGCCTCATGAACAGCTTTGAAGCCAAGATTTAAACACAAATCACAACATAACCATTCCAATTATATCTTAAGTTATCATCATCTGCCTACCCTTATCTTAATTTTATTTGGGGTCTGCGCAGTAAGTATGATTCTGCCATTCTATTCTATCATTCGTCATTTTACTGTTTACTTCCTTATTAGCCATATCCTCACTCACATAGTCCGTCCACCTTTTCTTTGGTCTTCCTTTTGTCAGTTATATTTTAAGTGTTTACCGTTTATTTATTAAAAGGTTCGACAACATATCACCAAGCAAATATGTGGCCTGAGCAATCGAAAAAACCGTCTTAAGACAAGGGGATTCTATATTAATAGATCCTTAAATATATCCTTATGAAATACGAAATACTCGATGTAAAAGGCTCCAAATATGATTCGACTGACAATAAAAATACCTCAGATAATAGTGAACGATAGGTATATCCAATTACCGGCACTTAGTTCAAGATAACCTTGCAAGTTATAAATAGAAAGCTTATCGTTGACATCTATAAGTATAAATAAGATATATTAAATCAAAACAATTAAAACAAACATACTACTATAAATATAATAGGGACTCGTGTATTGTACATAGTGAATTACGAGCGCTTTCCCAGAAATGTGGCCATATTTCTGAGAAACTCACTGTACCGTAGTCGTTTTATTTTTAAACAATCTAATAGGTTGCCTATAAGCCATCGTCCGTTTAGTGACGACTAAGAATGCGGAGTATCGACCCCTATTCATCCCGTGGGTGTCATAAGAGCCGACCAAGCAAACAACGCAAGACAATAGCACTGCAAAGCGAAGGGAAACTTAACACAACCCCTATACCAATCCAGCGTGGTATAGTAGGCAAAAACCACCTTTCTAAGGAGAGGCCTGTCCAGCAATGGCCTACTAAAGACTGTTGATGATGATGATGATCATAACGAACGGATGCGTTTATGGTATGTGTATATCCACATTTGTATTTTACATTAATACTTTCAATACTGGTCATGACTCCCCCTCTCCTTTCGTTTCTGGCGACATTACGACATTACTCGACAAATGGGAAAGTCTTTTTTCAACATTTAATTCAGAAATGTCTGCCTCTCCTAAAAGTAAGCACCAATTAGAGAATAGAGGCACCGTACGTCCTTAAGAAGATCTAAGAGGCCTTTTAATACCACGTTTGTTAAAACGCTTTTTGCTGTGCTTGGAGTAACTACACTGGCATGCAACGTAATTATATTATAAGTATTCCTACTACTAAACTGAAGTAGTTCTTTAAAATTAAATTTTAGACTTTATATTATTTAAATATATACATAACATATGGAGGAGTGGAGGAACGAGTGTCATGTCCCTCTAACACAAAGGGAGCACCTCTGACTAGGCGAGATGATCAAGTCTGACGGATCGCGGCCCCACGGCCTATGTTTGGGAATTGTATACACAAATGCGTGAGGACTTTTCATATTGCGATACAGGATTAGCATTAACTCCATAGTTCGGTGTTTCTTCGTTAGATGGCACTGAATTATATTTTGTTGTATGTGGAAGTCACAACACATGTGCTCATTTATTTTGGCTGCATCTTCGAGTCATCATCCTCTTCTTTGATTTTATCTGGTTTCCTGTTGCTTGGCAATCGGAGGTCTGACTCCAAACCTCTGAATGTTATTCTTTACAAACGCAAAAAGGTGCAAAAGGGCCCTGTAATGCGAATAACTTTCATATTTATTGTTCAAACAATTTACTCTTAGAATCTCTTGTTTATAGACTGTTTAGGAAGGAAAAAAAACAACATAATATAATCATATCAAACGGATTATTGGAGCATGTATACTCGTATGTTCAACGAACAAATTATAAAACCGTATGAATATCGTTATTATATATAGTTCCCACCTGTAAACCCCTGATATGGTGAGTAGAAACGCCTTACATCCACATTTCGAAAGCTATATTTTTGGTTCCCCGTAATACGGGGTAAGCCTATTGGCATTTCCTGGGCACGTTTCCAGATTGTTATATGGGTATGTACTGCTACTGAGGATATCGTCATAAGGAAAAAGTTTCATAAAGATACCGTGTGTGGTAATCTCGTGATTATAACCACAGTAGGATAATAATATTAGAAAATTGTTTTTTAATTGTATAAGTTTTATTTTCTTAGAACTAAAGTCTAAGTCCGAACAAAAGCCTCACAAACAATACAGATTATTACAATACATCACTATATAGTCGCATTGGAGTCGGTAATACTTTTTAAAACTGAATTATTTTTACTCTGTGGTGTTCCAGGCATGTTCTTAAAAAAACATCCAATAGAAAATATATGAATAGATAAAAAATACAAATGAAAAAAACACTTAAGTTAACTGAAGAAAATACGGTTTAACTGTTTTGAAACACAATTAGGACATCTATCTCTTTTTCAGTAACTTAGTGTGTCGTTTCAAATTATTTTAGAATTTCGATGTCTCTGGCAATATATTTCTGACATGTAAGATTTCCCCATTTTTATTAAGGAATCTAAGTTTAATTAAAGGACTGACAAGTTTCAAGATTTATCACCTAGATTAATGTTTCAAAAGTTTTGATTCTTCGTAGCTAACAACTATTAAAACAATACGGCACTACGCTTTGTTACGCACGCACGCGTACTGACAGATTCTACCTTGTCCGGCTAAGGATAAAACTAAATTACCTCGAAAACATTGCTTAATCAAGCTCACTGGTCATTTCCTGGGCATCAATAACAACAAGCTTGAGGATATCGGTGAACGGTGCCAGATATTTTAACTATCAATAAGTAGGTATTTGCATCTATATATATGATAATTGTAAGATATATGTACGTAAAAGAGAGATAATTTTTAAAAATATGGAAGATTTAAAAGCAATAGATTTGAAAACTTCTTTTTTGAGTTTTTATGTGTCTAGTTTATACGGAAATTATGTAAGCACTACTTTCCGGCACGGCACTTAACGTTAGATAGTGTGTGTGATAGTAAAGGCAATGGCAAGCTAGGACAAGCAGCAACGGCAAGCACAGCAACGATATACAGTGTCATTGATGCCGCAGGTTCGATTCCGAAACGATTTAATTTTCACCAGACTAGAGACCCAAGTTGCGAACGTTGTATTAGGTACTAACTGTTTTTGTAGCGGTAACCATTATTTAGCTCTATCCGTTACCCTGCATATATTATTGTTTACTGAGAAGCATTACAGTAGATTTTGTAATATAACTAAAATAGTAAAAGTGAAAAAAAAGGAATTTATAATCAATTTTCCTTTTGCCAGAGGAAGATATTTCTAAAATTATCATTTTTCCTCAATTCAGGGCAAGATAGACCTTAAAATAGATTTCATACATACTTTTCTCCTGTATTCTCATGATGAGCACTCCGACTAGCTTGTCAGTACCTTCTTTGACTGCTGCTATAGACATCTTGTCCTTCATCCATATCCTCACGTTGTGAATGAACTCGTCTGTTCCTTCCTTGTCCTCCGCCAATTTAACTGACCTATATGTTATCTGAAACAAATGACACACATTTTAGATAAACAAAAATATAAACCATAGACAACCAAGTTCAATAGTCTATCAATCAAAGTTGTAAAAGCATCAAAAAATAGTCTTCAGTTTTAAAAATTTATGTCAAATGTCTTTGTTACACAGCTCTCGGGTCAATCCCGAGTTCTTTGGGCAAGGGAATAAATAAATAAATACCTAAGTTAAACTAAAATATACTAGTAGACATATCTATACCCAGAGAAACGTTTAAAACTGTAATACTAAAATAAAAATAAATTGACACGCGCCTGGATTAGGCCACCTGATCTCAATTTAGGTATTTATTATAGTAACCAGGCTGCAGGGAATCCTATGTACAGATTGTTACATACATACATATTATAAATAATCCATTCCCATACACAGAAAAACTTATAGTGCTCATCAAACAATATTTGTCTTGGCTGGGAATCGAACCTACGACCTCAGACTCAGTTGTCAGGATCGCTAACCACCAGAGGAGCAGGCCAGTCAATATTTAATGCTGCAAATATTTCGAATCTTTTGAATTTTCTAAACCCCTTTACAATAATTGATTTCTATCGATACATTTTATTTTGTATTCATAAAGTAGAACTATTCAAGTAATTTAATCAAATCGACCTAGCCTTAAATATTTTCAAAAATAATAAATAAATTGAAGAAACTGAATGGAGTTTGCAATCAAAGTTTACGAGACGCTTATTGTAGAGAAAAAATATCTTGAAAGTATTTTTCAATTATTTACCCGTACCGAAAGAGTTTCGGGTAGGGTCCGAGTACATTAGAATTTCAGTTTATTATAATTGGACTACAGGTTCGATAAAAGTTCTGTAAAATAGTATTTCTCAAGTCGAATCCAGGAATGCGTAAAAGAGCCGAAAGGAATTACGCATTGCCAAATTGTGTAATGAGTTATATTATTTTAAATAATTAATGTATTTTCAAATTTGTAAATTAACGAGAAAGTCGTTAATTATAAGTGTCAATCTACCTATTTTTTTCATTAATTTAGGGCTAGGTATCTTATTTAGGTACGATGTCATCAGGATTAGAACCGGATCTATAAATCGTTTAGAAATTATTCAACCAAGAAAACTTAATCCCTTTCTCACTAAAGCTTCGTCTTAAATCCAGCAAGTTTGTTTTTTGACCTACTTTTCCCGGCACAAAACATCTTAATTAAGTAAATTAAGATTTCCGAACGGCCGATTCATCTTTTTTGTTACTTCTTAATTAAATACTCGTGTTCGGACACGGCCGCATTTTTGACTGTTTTTTCGAAAAAATAATTTCTCAACTTTTCATGAGCAAAGCAAAGGAAAAGTGTTTTATAAATAATTATATTTAAATTGGACTCATTATATACGAGTTAGAAATCAGTATTTCCTTTTACCTTGGTTGAAATATAAAAACCAGTGAGTTTGAAATCATGATCAACTAGCGCAGAGATGGACTGCCTCTTCGTATAGGCTCAAAGTATATACCTACATATTAAACAGACATAGACATTAATATACTATGTTGATACCTACGTAAATATATACATAACCCATACTTATTACAAAAATATTCTTGACGAGTGAGTTATTTTGTATTACTGTGTCCTATTTTGTTTCCTAAACATACAATTCGCGGTCAACCAGAGCCGCGGTACTGCAAATTGACTTCAAACGCACTGCGTGGGTAAATTCTATTAAATACTTGGACTTTCTGTTGTAAATCTGATTTTATTATTGAAACGATTTAAATATTTGAGATATTAAGATATAGGTATTCTCAGGATTCGACGAAAATTCTTTTTTTTTTAAGATTCAAACAAGAATAGTCTACTATCAAATCAAACTAACTACCTTTGATTAAAAAAAAGTAGTAAAGAAGTAAATAGTTAAAGGTAGTGGCTTTAAAGGCCCACATCACCGAAGAGCACTTGACAATAATATAAATATTCTATGGTCTTTGTAGACGGTTCAAACAATGCTCGAATTACATGCGAATTTCGAAGTATACATATAAACTTACTTCCTCAGTCAAATAATGTCTCTTCAGCAACCTCACAGCGTCATCATACCGTCTATCTTGAAGATCTTCAAACCTGACTCCGCAAGGCACACGACCCCATATTGAAGGTGCCTTGATACGTTCTTCTAGGTCTCTCATCTTCTGTAGGGCTGCTGCTTCATCCTGAGCCATGGTCGCTTACTGAAAAGTGAAAAATACTTTTGGTTGAAGGGGGAAGAATTCTTCAGGATTTTGAGAATTTTGTCATCCATCATTTATTCAAAACTTGCTACTAAGTTAATTTTCGTGTTATTCTCGTGTTTCACAACTTTTGAATTTTAACGTAGATAACTAATGGACAATAAATTCCAATATAGAATGACAATAGGTATATATATATTTCTTGACTGCACGGATGGCGTAGTGGTTTAAGCGGTCGCCACGCCGCTTCCTTCTACGCCGAGTGTTCAAACCCCACATGGGACGACACTTTGTGTGATCCACAATTTGTTGTTCTGAGTCTGAGTGTTCTTTGTGTCCGTTTCATGTATGTTTGTAAAGTCCCCCGCGACACAGGATATATTCCTAATGCGGGAGTTGTCTTTTTAAAAAAAAAAGTCCAGCTTTCACCATCTCAAATGAGGAAAACTTACGAGCTCCATTTTTTTTCAAGAGATGACCTCTGTTATAAGCATAGTGCTCTGGCTTTACTCAGGGTTAGTCTCAAGACTCTAGACTTAATACGTCGTGGTATTGTACCGAATTTTCTAGAAATTCACCTCTCATGTTATAAATAAATTAAAGATATTTCATTCATGAAAAAATAATCTATGGATTTGGAGGATGTACTAGAACAATTTTATGTTTACTTAGAGCAAGTGTAATACTTCTCTTTCATCTAACGAAGACACACTGAACTATGGAGTACCTACTAATTCCAAATCAATTGTACAACGATTAGTATATCGCTCCAACATAAATCATATGATCACCATCCACCAGGCATAACCTAGTCTGGTCGGAGGAGCTTCCCTTTGTGTCGGCAGAACATAACACCGGTTCCCCCACAAGTAGGTACCCTAAGCATATTGCTTGTTTATTATCGCGGTAACATTTGAGGCATTATATTTTACAAATAAAAGTAATTTACTTTTCGATTAAGCTTACCTATTACCTGTGTCAATAATCCAGTCGATACTAAAAGGGTTTAATAACTAATGCGCAAAATCCTAAGCGATGTTTTGTTTAAAATAAAAGCTTTAAATATTTTATTGAGCTAATGTTTATGTTGCTTAAAAGCACAAAATTATACCATAGACAAGCTGTCAAGTTTAACGATCATCAATCTATCATTCATGCTTCAAATAATAAAAAAAGGTTTTAATGAATCCTACTTCAATAGTTTTATTAAAAAAGTATTATTGTAGTAAAACTTCTCTACGCACGCTTGACTTGGGAAGTAAGCCGGTGAATTCGTGACGAGAGCGTTACGAAAAGTGTGATCAACGGGAGTTGAGAGGGAGATATAAGTTAGTAAAGATAGAAAGAGAGAGAGGTACGAGCACACATTTTCTTTCTCTCTTTCTCTCATAGCCAGTTATATAAACATATGTGTATGTATATATGTATGTATGTGTGTATATATATATATATACATATAGATGGAGCTAAAGAAATGTTACTTCAGTCGTGTGGTCTAAAGTATATCAGTATATCAGTCATATCGACCGATTTTTAATCAATGTAGTCGATAATGATTAATTGCTTTCGATCTTTTACATACATAACAATATACACATGTAAAAAAAAGTAATTATATTCATGTTTTAATCTATACAAATAAATTTAATTGAAGAGTCTACTTGTAATGTCAAAATAATAGGTTTGTTCATGCTCACTCGGTTATTTGCACGTTATCTATGCCTAAAAACCAGTTTAAATATTTTTTGTCGGTCTGTCTGTTTGTTCCGGGTAATCTTGAAAACGGCTAAATCGATTTTGATAATATTTTATTACCAGTTCGTTGTCTATATAAGGAGTAACTAAGGCTATTTTTCCTCTCAGAAAAACCCTCTAAAATTTTACCCGGTCCGAGAATCGAACCCGAGTCCTCATATATTTCAGTCGCGTACCGTACTTCACAACTAATACAGCGCTTTTCAAATCCACGGGAACGATGTCACTGGTAGCAACTAGTATTAACCAACAATAATAAAGCAGGAACAAAAAATATTTGAAGAGTACCAGACTGTTGACTGATGATGAGTGCATAATACTACAGCTGATGTCACCTACATCACTTTTATGGTCATTGTTAAAATCACTTACTTTATGGTATGAGCAAATGCAAAAAAAAGAGATTTAAATAATCTCTGTTAAACCTATAGCAATTAATATTAATGGAATCGATTCGAACAGGTGTAGTTCTACTTAAATAGGGGTTTCATTGTTTGACCCAGACCTCGAACAAATAAGTGTTTGCGTTGAATGTCACAAGAATCTCGGCTAATATCTAGAGAAGGGAATAACATATCGATCAAAAAATTAAAGGTTGTCATTGTTGCTTTTACTTAGAGATTACGTCAGATTGTCACATATGTCATCGATAGCAATAAACCACTGCTTAAAAATTGTTTAAAATAATCACTGCTTTCTTTTTAGGTACTAATAACGAGTCAGATATAGAAACTGCCCTATCCACAGAGATCTCCTTAAAGATTTCTGTTTACCGACGCCATGCTATCATCTTCCCTCTTCAACTTCATGCACTGGCTTTTCTTGATAGACATAAGTATCACTCGCAAACAGTAAAGCCGTGTTCCCATCTATCGCACCTAAAAGATGCTATTAAGATACGAAAATCACTCTGCAAGGATGTCCAAATTCGTTTATTGAATTTCCAGCGAGCATCATGCAGACGTGACTTTAAGAGTGGTCTCTGGTATTTCTTGGTTTCTGAGACACTCCACATGTTATTTATATCGGCCACTGAAATATTTTTAAGATACCCATAGAGTAACGAATAAACTCAACTCCAGAATAATCTTAAAATAATATTATAAAAAATAAAATATGACTATCGACACACGAAGCAAGTACGTCCCTAGTTATAAAGAATTACTTATCTGTCGTGTCTACAAGTCGCACATGTTTGTTTATTTAGGGTACGTGAGGTAACATCCATGTAACTTTACTACTTTTTTTCAACTGAAGTAAGTAATGAGTTTAAAACTATAGAAAAAAAGTGACAATGTTTTGAATTTAAACTTAAGCTACACTCAGTAAAATGGCATTATATCAAATAATCATCACAACAGAAATTGTGATGGCTGAATCTTTGTATTTAGGTAGAATTTTATGTGATAAAATAATTAATCGCATTTTGCATTGTACCGTGCCGTTGCACATTGCATTTGTCTGTGAATATTCACCACCCCTTTTCATCCCGTAGGTGTCCGAAGAGCCAACTAAGGGAGCAAACTACACAAGAACGTATACCAAAAACGTATACCAAGCCGCCTGGCCAGCCTGGTCCTCTCTAAGGAGAGGCCTATTTTTGGAAGTGGACTGTTATAGGCTGTTGATGAAACATCACAATAGGAATTATGGCATCTGAGTCTTTGTATTTAAATACAATTTTGCCTGATATAAACACTTAATAGCGTTTTGCATTAAAGTTTTTTTTTTAACTTTCGCTTCTAAATACTCGTACATATTAGAAAGCTTACCCGAGACCACCATTGGTATAATTAGATCGAAAAGTTAGTAAGTAAGAAGTTTTAATAAAACATTTTCACATTCACTTAACACTTGGTAACATAAAACATGGACATATATGCCTTAAAAATATGTCAGTGAAGTTACTCACCTGTGGTCTACTCGTATATATTCGAACAAAATATAATGGAACCACCATATACAGGCTGGCACGGCACACTGATGCCGAACTTCGTTCAATAGAGGAAGTCAGGAAAAAAAGAAAATAAATCAATAAAAACATTACGGCATTCATAAAAGTTTGCACGGCATCAAGTAAATGACTTGGAGTTAAGAATAGTTTAACCTCCTTTAATAAGGGTTCTGCAGCCATTTTTATAATAGTAGGAATATATAAAAGTATATGTATAACTATTCTATTGGTCAATCTAGCTGTCATAGTACAAGCTCTGCTTAGTTTGAAACTAGATGTCGCTGTGTGTCAGATGTCTGAAAAGTTATTATTATTATTATTTTATATGGTTTCATAAAAGACTGGATGATTAAGTAGTCACAACTATTTTTTGTATGTATGTATTACAAGATATATTTGTAGCTTGTGAATAATTTTAGTCAGTCCTCCCATACGGCTCAACCATTTGCAAACTTGTAACACTGGGACCCACCTATGCCGACTATCTACGTAAAGACCTTAAATCCTATACATACATAAATATAAAAAAGAAACCGACAAGTGCGAGTCGGACTCGTCCACCGAGGGTTCCGTACACAATTGTAGGTACATATTATAAATAGTTCAGGAATCGAATCTCGCCCGAAATAAAGTTTTCAAAATCTATAATTACTAATATTTTTGAGTTTTATTAGAGAAATTGTACCTCGATGATTGATTATCCTATAAGGTCTCGTTTTTTCCTTTTGAGGTACGGAACAACAAACAATTGTTTTTTAAAGTATGTCTATTGGAAAAAAAGATTTTTCTAAAAAATAGTCTTACAAAAATACAAACAATCTCTAATATGCAAAGGATAAAACACATGTCATGACAAGACCGCTACATTAAAAAGTTACGAACCAGCCAGTGTGGATCTAGCTAACTCCACCAAATGATCAACCTAGAAAATTGAAAATTATTACAAAATTACTGTAAACCTAAACTATAAGAATTCTTTTTTATATAATTTACTCACGCGGGTAGGCTAGAAGCCTAATTTATTGCCTAGCACACGCGCTAAGCTCTAAGTTCTCCACAGACAGCTGTTCATTTTATTACATAATTCACATTCTAACTCCAATATATTCGTAGCTATTATCCTTGGCAGTATAAAGTGTGGAGTGCATATACGCAACGAGTGGGGGGGGGGGGCGGTTTGAACTCCGATAACCTCACTTACTCGATGCAATAAATGATGATAAAACAACTTGATTCATGTGACTAGACTATAATAGATATAGAAATTTTAGGAGAGCTCAGC